GGATTTCACCATGTTGGCCAGGCTGGTCTCAAGCTCCTGACCTCAGGTGATCCACCTGACTCAGCCTCCCAAAATGCTGGGATTACAGGCGTGAGGCACTGCACCTCGCTGAGGGTACAAGTTTTTAACCTGTATATATCCCATGTTGTCAATTATTAAAGGGGGCAGAACCACAATAAAGAAAGCTCCTAAAGCAAGAGATAATTTTCTCATGTGGTCAAGGATTGTGAGAGATGTTATGAGTTATTTTTTTCCAGTTATATGCTAGGTACAGTCACTGTTTACCTCTTCATCTACAGAGGCATGACATAGGCAGGTGTCTATTTCCTGTACACTTCAGGCTTTGCTGAATCCTAATATGCAGGACATTAAGAGTCAGGTGAGAGACAGACAGGATGTTTGGGTTTTCTGCTCTCTTTGACAACCAGTCAGTATTGCCACATCATTGCCCAAAGAAATATGGTGGACTAAACAATGAGGAAGGGCATGTCTCTGTGCTAGACTAATTGCTGCTGGGAAGATATCAAAAGTTTGTGTCTTAACTCATGTAGCTGACTTATTCTGTGTCTCATTCTATGTTATATTTTCTGTATGTAAGAGCAGAGATGTTTATGTCAGGATTCTGTTTCCTAGCCTTGATAGCATGGGTGTTTTTACCTCTTTCTAGGCAGACTCAGTGGGATCCTCCTACTTGGGAAAGCCCAGGAGATGATGCTAGCCTTGAGCATGAAGCTGAGATGGACCTTGGAACTCCAACATATGATGAAAACCCCATGAAGGTGAGTGTGGCTTACATGTGTATTTCCTGATCATTTGTGAGTCTGTCTTCTGTCATTCTATAAGGCCAATAGTCACATGGTCTTGGGATTTTTTCCTTACTCTGAAAAATGAGTGAATGATCATGCATGTATCAAGGTGTAGAGATGAAGTCAGGGAGAAAGAATGGCCTTTTTTAGACATTCAGGGACTCAGATGCATACTACCTACTTACTTATTTGAGGGAGATATATGGCTAAGAATTGCAAGGGGTGTTCAAAAAACCCCTTACTATGATTGCTTCAGAGCCTCTCTTGTTCTCTCTCTTTGCCCTTTTTGTTTTAAATGAGACAGAGTCTCACTCTGTCACCCAGGCTGGAGTGCAGTGGCACAGTCTTGGCTCACTGCAACCTTGGCCTCCCAGGCTCAAGCAATTTTCCTGCCTCAACCTCCTGAGTAGCTGGGACTACAGGCATGCACCACCGTACCTGGCTAGTTTTTGTATTTTTAGTAGAGACAGGGTTTCACCATGTTGGCCAGGCTGGTTTCGAACTCCTGACCTCGGAAGATCCATCTGCCTCGGCCTCCGGAAGTGCTGGGAGTACAGATGTGAGCCACCATGACTGGCCTTTCCTTGCCTTTTGTTATTAGTGCCCCATAACATATGCTTTTATGATTCATCTGTTCCAAACCAGTGTGAGGGGTGGGTTTTGGGGTTTTTGTTTTGTTTTGTTTTGTTTTGTTTTGTTTTAATGTGTTCTTGGCTCACTGCAACCTTTGCCTCCTGGACTCATGCAGTTATCATGCCTCAGTCACCCAAGTAGCTGGGATTAAATTATCATGCCTCAGCCACCCAAGTAGCTGGGATTTTATAGGCATGTGCTGTACTACCATGCCCGGCCAATTTTTGTATTTTTAGTAGAGATGAGGTTTCGCCATGTTGACTAGGCTGGTCTTGAACTCCTGACCTCAAGTAATCTGGCTGCCTTAGCCTCCCAAAATGTTGGAATTAGAGGCGTGAGCCACCATGGCTGACCATATGAAGCATCTTGAATGAAATCAGATACCATATTTTTACCTTCTAAAACCTGAATAATATATTTTTTTTAATTTCGAGAGTTATAAGTACTTAACTGGTTAAATTATTGGGAATTGGTGGAAGAAGGAGGAGGGAAGAAAAGAAGGACCTGGAGTGAGAAGGGACTAAAGTGGAAATGAATTCATTCTTTCTTTTATATTTTATTCACTTTTGGAAGAAATGGTTTTCTCTTTACATGTGTTTGGCATTTGCCAAGAAGATACATACTTAAGTTCAATCCATGTGGAGTTTGTTAAATTTTATCTTTTTTTATTTTTTTATTTTTTTATTTTTTTATTTTTTTTTTTTTTTTTTTTTGAGACGGAGTTTCGCTCTTGTTACCCAGGCTGGAGTGCAATGGCTCGATCTTGGCTCACCGCAACCTCCGCCTCCTGGGTTCAGGCAATTCTCCTGCCTCAGCCTCCCGAGTAGCCGGGACTACAGGCACGCGCCACCATGCCCAGCTAATTTTTTTTTTTGTATTTTTAGTAGAGACAGGGTTTCACCATGTTGACCAGGATGATCTCGATCTCTTGACCTCGTGATCCACCCGCCTCGGCCTCCCAAAGTGCTGGGATTACAGGCGTGAGCCACCACGCCCGGCCAAGTTTGTTAAATTTTAAATGAATCACATAAATCACTTAGCCACATCACTCCAGCTGTTGTGCTGTCTTGTTTTCCTGAATCATTTAGGAATATGCCCAAGACTGCTAGGCACTTGCCATTTAAATTATTTGTAAGCTTAAATACAAACAAAAATCACAACTCCCATTTCGAGACTTCAGTATTATGTCAGTTATGTCTTTTGAAAAATAAAGGGATTAAGAAAAGATCTGAAGTTCATAAAGCATGTTGGAGGCCTTACCCTTCTTATAAGCCCAAGTGCATGGGCACCCTATTAATCTTGATTCAGTCTTTTGGTCTAGTATATGCATATTAAATTAGGCCTTTCAAAGCAAATGAGGAATGGACATGAAGTTCACTGTTGCTTATTTAATGCTCAAGGAATTGCCCTTTCTTATATGAAGACCTGTGTTAGGAAATCCAGGTCATCAAACTAGCCAAGCACAAAGTAGGAGCTGAGAAGTAGGGGGCAAGTAAAAGGGCAGGTTATGTGCCATGCTATACAATTGTAGACCTTCGTTCTCTGTCTAGCTGGTGAGAAAGGGAAACCTTTAAAGTGATTTGAGCAGTGACATTTGCCTTTTACAAGGCTCTCTGCTGGAGATGGACTGGAGGGGTTGACCATGCAGTTGGGGCCTTCACAATGAGCTTTTTGTAATAGTTAGGTCTACTCAGCATCCAACAGCACCAGATACCACCTGTTAAAAATGCAGAATCTCACTTCCTGTCCCAGACCTGCTAGATCAGAATCTGAAGTGATACAAGGTCCCAAGGTAATTATTATACACATTCAACTCTAAATAATTGGCACTACTATTTGTGATCAACTGTAAGAGAAGTATGATTATAAAACCTTACTATATCCAACCTGAGTGTACTTGTCAGGTTATGTTGATCTTTACTTCTCTATTACCATAGGTGCATGTGTGTCTGGGGAGTAGGCTATTGGAAATATTATACCCAAAAGGCAATGCCTGAATTATAATTTACTAGCTTGGAACCTTAGATCTCTAAATATAAATTTTAAGTCACATAGATCTGAACTTAATCTCACCCTTTTACATTTTGGTTATTTATCAGACATTTGAGTTCCTATTTGGCACAAGTGCTGTGCCCAGACCTGGGGATGCAAAAGCAGTATAAGGCAAGGTTATTGCTCTCAGGGGTCATAGGAAGGTAAGGTTTGAAAATGTACAGTATTATGTGTTTAAGTGGTAAACTGAAGGATTTATTTATTTTGTTGTTTGGTTTGCTTTATTTTATTTTTAGAGGTAGAGTCTCCCTTGCTCTGTAGCCTAGGCTGGAGTGCAGTGGTGCAATCTTGGCTTACTGCAACCTCTGCCTTTTCAGCTCAAGCAATTCTCCTGCCTCAGCCTCCTGAGTAGCCGGGATTACAGGCACCTGCCACCACACCTGGCTGAGAGAGAGAGAGAGTGAGTGAGTGTGTGTGTGTGTGTGTATGTGTAGAGACGGGGTTTCTCCATGTTAGTCAGGCTGGTCTTGAACTCCTGACCTCAGGTGATCCACCTGCTTCAGCCTCCCAAAGTGCTAGGATTACAGGCATGAGCCACTGCACCCGACCTGATTTTTGTATTTTTAGTAGAGATGGGGTTTCACCATGTTGGCCAGGCTGGTCTCAAACTCCTGACCTGAGGTGATCTACCCACCTTGGCCTCCCAAAGTGCTGGGGTTATTGGCGTGAGCCACCATGCCCGGCCTTATTATTTGTTTTTAATTTGTCTTTGCTTTCCTTTGAATTGATTTAGAATATTTTTCAAGTATTCTGTTTTTTTCCCCTGTTGGCTTAGCCATACCTCTTTATTTTTATTTATTTATTTATTTATTTATTTTTGAGCCATGCTGTCACTCTGTTGCCCAGGCTGGAGTGCAGTGGCACCATCAGGGTTCACTGTAGTGCCCCCCTCCCAGGCTCAGATGATCCTCCTGCCTCAGCCACCCAAGTAGCTAATTTTTGTATTCTTTGTAGAGACAGGGTCTCACGGTGTTGGTGACCAGGCTGGTCTCAAACTTCCGGCCTCAAGCAGTCTTTCTATTGTGGCCTCCCAAAGTGCTGGGATTATAGGTATAAGCCAACACACCTGGCCTGCTTTACTTCTTAGTGGTTGTTTTAAAACAGTGGTTCTCAAAGTTTGGTGTGGGGACCTCTAGGGGTCCTAAGACCCTTTCAAAGGAGCCACAAGGTCAAAGCTGTTTTAATAATAAGAAAACATGATGTGCCTCTGTCATATTTGGTACATTCACAAATATACCATGGAATTTTCCAGAGGGCACATGACGTATTTGAATGCAGAAGCCAATGAGACTTAGCTGTATTTTAAGTGAGACGTTAAAAGAGATTTCCAAAATGTAAAACTGTGCCACTCGTAACTGAATTGCTTTAGTTTTGGAAGACAGCTATTTTTCACAAAAAATTATATTACTGTTATATGTATTATTATATAATAGATTTGCTGTTATTTTTTAAAATACTTAATTTTTTCTGTTTGAATTTAATTTCTAATATGAAAAATTTTGATAGATGTAACCCATATGAATAAAAGCTTTTTGTGATCCTCATTGTTTTAAGAATAAAGGGATCTTGAGACCTACTTATTTGAAAAACACTGTTGAAAGGTTTACAGTATGCATATTATCACAATCTACCATTGCCTTATATTTACCCAGATATTTACCATTTCCAGCACTCTTCATTCTCTCGTGTAGATTTGAATTTCCATCTGGGATCATTTTCCTTTAGCCTAAAGAATTTCCTTTAACAACAACAAAAAAAAGACAAAGAGAAAAAAATAGAATTTCCTTTAAAAGGCTGGGTGGGGTGGCTCACACCTGTAATCCCAGCACTTTGGGAGGCTGAGGCGGGCAGATCACCTGAGGTTGGGAGTTCGAGACCAGCCTGACCAACATGGAGAAACTCCGTCTCTACTGAAAATACAAAAAATTAGCCAGGAATGATGGTGCATGCCTGTAATCCCAGCTACCTGGGAGACTGAGGCAGGACCTGGGAGGCAGAGATTGCAGTGAGCCGAGATCGTGCCATTGCACTCCAGCCTGGGCAACAAGAGCAAAACTGTCGTAAAAAAAAAATTTTTTTTTCCTTCAACATTTCTGGTATTTCAGATCTGCTGATGATATATTTTGTCAGCTCTTGTTTGTCTGAAGAAAGGTATTTATCTTACCACTTTAAAAAAAATTTTTAAGCAATTTTAGTTTTATTTTGGCATAGCAAAATTGAACAAGAAGTACAGAAAGTTTCCATATACCTGCTGCCATTGCACACACACAAGCTTCCCTTTCTATCAT